TACAAATGACTGTAATCATTTCTAGGATTTTCCAGACAGGAAACAGAATAAGGATTAAATGGAGGACATTGTGTATTTGATGAATTCAGTATGGCCATGTTGAGACCATGCAAAGAGAGAGAAGCATGCTTTTTAAATTAAAGTGAAATCCAGGTTAAAGTAGAGCTGGATATGTATGTGTGTGTGTGTATGTATATGTATATACACACACACACACACACACACACACACACACACACATTGGTTGTCTGTGTACTAGGTACATTGCTTTGCTAGAATTATCCTACATAACCTTAATTATAACCATGAAAGGTTCTGTTAGGTCCTTTTTACACAATCAAAAACAGAGATTTATTACACAATTAGTAAATTGAAGCACCACGACTTGGTGACAGATGTATTTGACCTGAGAAACTGGACTTTTACCAATTCACACTTTTGCCTGTACGTCAGCATTCTAGTTTTTATAAAAATGTAAATATGTTGATTTGTAAATATTAATAGTAATTGCTCTACTAAGTACAATACAAAAATAAAGTGAAATTCCATGCACTTATGGGAATATAATTTACTTTTTATGAATACAGTTAATCAGAATATCTTTCTTAAATAATTTTGGGGGAATAGAACAGTGTCTAGCTTATATTTGGGATTCAGGTGTAGGCATGGAGGTAAATAGTGACATTAGGTTCTGTCTGTTGCAGTGGTTCTCAACTTTGGCTGCACATTAGAATCACCTGGAAATCTTTTTAAAATCCTGATATCTGGGCCTCATCCTCCAGAAATTCTGTTTGTTTGTTACTAATGTTGTGGCCCCACCCCATAACAAAGAAACAGAATTTCCGGAGGATGAGGCTCAGAAATCAGGATTTTAAAAAGATTCCCGGGTGATTCTAATGTGCAGCCAAGGTTGAGAACCACTGGTCTATTGTGTTGTCAAAGTTCTTATTACCAAGGGCTTAATTTTCTGTTATTTTTCTGGTATTTTCCTCACAGTACTAGCTAGAGCAAGCATGTCAAACTCAAAGGCTAACACAGGTCAAATAAACAAATTTTAAGTTCATGTGTACTGCAAAAAAAAAAAGCTTCATATTCATAGAAACGTAGGTTTATTTCGATAGAGACATGCTGAATACAAATGGCTGAAATAAATGAGTAATCATTTACATAAAATAATAGAACATTTTAATAAAAAATATTTTTCTTGAATATTAACTTACCAGACACTAAATAACTGCACAAATTAATAATCGTAACACAAACCTATTTTTCTTGTTCTCGGAAAGCGAATTATTTCCTTTTGCGCACACCAAACAAATCATTACAAGATTAATGACTTGACAATAGGCTGCTAAAATATTCGCTGCTAGTATTAGTGGAGAGAAATGCGTGCAAGGCACATAAAGTAAATAAATGCAACCTGATTATAGTAATCAGTCATTAGCAAATGTTGTAGTTAGTTAATAATTTTGTGTAACAGAATATTATAAAATTAAGTTATGAAATTTTTTTTTATACATGCCCTTGTCCGGAATCGAACCCGGGACCTTTCAGTCCGCAGGCCGACGCTCTAGCTACTGAGCCAAACCGGTTTTGGCAAGTTATGAAATTTTTATTAAAATGTTGATTACATACCATTATATGGGGTGGGCCGCAAAAATATTCGTCGTGGGCTGTGAGTTTGACATGCTTGATCTAGAGCAGTGGTTCTCAACCTGTGGGTCACGACCCCTTTGCAGGTAGAACAACCCTTTCACAGGGGTCGCCTAAGACCATCGGAAAACACATATATAATTACATATTATTTTTGTGATTAATCACTATGCTTTAATTATGTTCTATTTGTGACAATGAAATTAGGGGTCACCACAACATGAGGAACTGTATTAAAGGGTCGTGGTATTAGGAAGGTTGAGAACCACTGATCTAGAGTGTTCTTAGTAATCTTAAAGTTCAGTAGATGTTGGCAGGCAGCCAAAAAGTTCGGGACTACTGTTTAAGAATACATTTTATTTTGGTACCTAATGTCTAGAATTCTTATATTTTGAGTCAGTGCTTATCTCAGTTGGCTTTAATCCTTTTTTTATCTTTCAACAGATTATCTCTGTTACTAGATCTTCAGTTTGCTCAACAAATCACAATGTCTCGTTCACGACAACCCCCACTTGTGACAGGCATCTCTCCAAATGAAGGAATACCATGGACCAAGGTCACAATTAGAGGAGAAAACCTGGGAACTGGCCCAACCGACCTCATAGGTAAGGGCAAGGACTATGTTGTGTATCCATGGTAAATGCATTTTTATGTTAGATCAGTTGAAGCAAGATATATTATTTTGAAATAGTGACGGTGATAGAAAAACATTATTGTGGTCTGTACAAAATGATCTGAATGAAAATAAGGAAATTACTTGATTTTGTGATTTTTCTGTTAAAAAATCATTATTTTATCAAATCTTATCTATATTGTCTTTCACTAAAGTCCTTCAGAAAGTTTTCCATAGTGGAAATTTGCCTCTGTTTCCTCATCTTTGCTCTCTCCTGCTTAGATTGCCTAAAGTCTCCTAGCAATTTTTGCTCTCTTTAGTTTTTCTTTGATTATACAACACTTTGTATTCTTTTTCAAGAGCTCTGGGAATTATGCCTCTTCTGTTCCTTCTTGCTTTTTAAATTAAACCTAAACTCCATCTCCTAGTGATGTCGGTACCATTTGGCTCTTACTCCACCCAAAAGAGACTATCCCACCAGGTGACCTGGAGATATTTGTTTTCTTTTCTCTACCACGTAGCTGCTTTATCATGTTGGAGAGCACCGCCATTATTCTGAAATACAATCTCTGCCTGCCAAGCCTGGGCTCTTACAACCAAAAATCTTCAGACTAATTCTCACCAATGTTAATCTATCTTTTTTTATTAGGCTCCCCTAATATTTACATATTTAGAGCAAGCTAGATTTTAATTTTTAGGGTCATTTTGTTTTTTTAATCTTTTTAAGCTCAAGGACATGAATAACAGAAAACTATGCATCCAGTTGACAAGCATAAATATTATTAGACTAGATGCAGCAGTTCTCAGCCTGTGGGTCGTGACCCCTTTGGCAGTAGAACAACCCTTTCACAGGGGTTGCCTAAGACCATCCTGCATATAAGATATTTACATTACGATTCATAATAGTAGCAACATTACAGTTATGAAGTAGCAACGAAAATAATTTTATGGTTGAGTCACAACATGAGGAACTGTATTTAAAGGGCTAGAAGGTTGAGAACCACTGGACTAGAGGCCCAGTGCACGAAATCTATGCACTTGTAGGGTCCCTAGGCGTGGCCAGCAATCAGGGCCAGTCAGGGCCTTCCAGCTGCTAGCTGCCAGCTGGGGTCTCCCTATCCTGGCTGCTGGCTGCTGGCCGGGGCCTGCCTTCATTCAGCACCACCCCCGGTGGTCAGTGTGTGTCATAGTGAGCGATCGAACTCCTGGTCAGTCAAACTCCCAAGGGAACACTTTGCATATTAGGCTTTTATGTAGATAGATTTGTTGCCTAGGATAGGAAACCCCTATGACAGCTAACAAAGTACAGTATTTCTGCAATAATAATTATGATAATGATGTTGAAAATTGCAAGTGCCTGCTTTGTGACAGCTGGAGTTGTTGTAAACATTGTATAAATAGCAACTCATTTTAGTGGATAGTATTACTGAACACTGGGTACTTGGCTTCCTTTCCCGAATCCATCAGACCCTGGTGACATTAATGGGAGGTAAGCCATGTCTATAAAGAAATAATTTACTTTGATGATGGTGGATAAAAGTTCTGAACCATGAGCTATCCTCATCAAAGAATGGTAATGGTAACCAACAAAAAAAGGTACCTTTATTTACCTGTTATCTTTTGCCATCTTAATTTGCAATGATAAAGAGTCTTGTTTCCACTTACCTTAGATGAAGAAGTTGAAAGGCCAGGCAGCCATCTTAGTTTTATTCTCTCCCCTCACTGCCACTCCCCACCCTCACCCTCAACCTCTCATATAATAATTAACATAGGACAAATGGGTTTTTCTAATTTAAGTCTTCTTTTCTTTTTTTGGTTGTTAAGATGGTCGTTTTTTCTCTTCCCTTCAGAATGTTGCCATTTTATTCAACGCATTCCCCAAGCCTCCTCCTCTCAGTTCAAATCTTGTACTGGAGCAGAGTTAAAGCTGCCTAAGGCCACACCACATGACCAGTAAGAGCCAGTGGCTTAATAAAGAGGTTTCCATAATTCAGCTGCCTAGAGTTTGAAGGCCAGTCCTGCTGCCTTTCCCCTCCGCTGGGAGCGCTCACCACTCCAGGCCTTGGAAAGCTCCATTTCCAAAACTACTCACTCCCATTCTACCACAACAAAGCTTTCTCAGTGCACACAAAACAGCACCCTCTTCCCCAGGCCTAGAAAAACAGCACTACCAGGCCAGCAGCTCCTCCCACAACCCTGGGCCAGGATGCCTCAGACCTCCTCTGGTGTCCCCTCTGGACAACTGAGTGCTATGGTTCAGAAGCTGGGGAGACAGGAAAAGGGAGGTGAAACCAGGGCAATTTTCAGAAGCCCAGGCGAGTCCAGACTGCTGGTAAGCTGAACCTCACCCACTCCCCATGCAAGTCCTGTAACACCACAGCCAGGCCGGCTTCTTGAAGGGGTTGCAAGTTTCAGTGCTACCTGTAAGAGTCAGTGTTCTCTCCATCCTGGCAACTGGGAACAAAAGGCAACCCCCAGCCCTCTGGCAACACTGACCCTCCTGAATTAGACATACACACCCTGGGATTTCTGTTTCCTGCACAGAGAGAGGGAGAAATGGAGGATGGGAGGAGGGGACCAATGAGGGAGTAGGGTATGGCGATTCATGGAGGGATCAAAGGGCTGGTTAAAGTCACCTCTATGCCCTGGAAAGAGCCGGGTTTAGGGATAGCGGGCCTGCCCGTCGCTTTGTTGTCAGTGTCCAGGTTGCTGGCGCGCATGAGTGCAAACGCGCCCCCTGAAATCATTGCACCTGGCCAAGAGACCCCTAACAGCCCCTTAATAGCCCCAACTCCTTGACAAAAGGAAGAAACTTGTACACAGGCACTCTAGCACCAGGTGCTGCGGTTTGCCTCTAAGGACCATTCTAAAAGCCAGAATAATGATGATCATTAAATAAAAGAATTAATAGTATTTTGTTTTCTTCCAAGTCTTTGGGAAAATGAAATTCAGGTTTTTGACCAATCTGCTCACATTTATAGTTACCTGTGGTGAAGCAAGATATGTGAGGGGTCTTGGGGTGGAGATTGGTGCTAAGGTGGGAAGCTCGAGGAAGGTGCAGAGGTGCACTGTGGTGCACTGTGGGGAGGGGGCAGTTTGGGGATCCTGGTCCCCGATGCCATTCGCGGG